GCCTCTGTGAACATAGTGCTGCCTTCTAGCAGCGCAGGGGTTCTGTGTTCGGGACAAGTCTGAGCATATAAAACCAAAACTTACGCAGTTTGTGATTATCTATGTGCGGAGTTCCTCCTATGTGGGGATCCAGAAGTGAAGAGGAGGGTAGAAGCCCGTGTCTGATTTTAACCCAAACTGACAACAAATATATCTTTCCTCAACAGTTGCTCCTTATCAGATAGAGACTTTTCCTATTTTGTACTTCTCTGGCATTTGAATTAAGAGACCTGACCCACATCAAGCATTTGTTCAGCAACTCTGGAAGCCAGTGCACATCGTTTAGCCCGGTGTTATTGCAACATTAAGTGAAAGGCTGCTGTCTGCACTGCCTACGTAAATGCTGCCGCACACCATCCGTCCCCAGCATGCAGAAGTAGTTATTTATTTGGGGAAGTGTGGTCTAGCGGTGAAGGGTTGTGGTCAGAGCACGGGACCAGAAGTCAGGAAGATGTGTATAGCAAAATCAACCCCTTCAGGGACTTGGGGAAGTCGCTTCTTAGATTTATTCAACATCCCCATGCTTTGGCCCTTGTCTTTTTCATGTACTGATATTCACTTAGTACCTAGCCCAGTGCCTCGCCTGTAGCAGGTGTTCAATGAATATCTCCTGAATGGACGGATGAATGAATGAATGAATACCCTCATGCAAGCAAGGCAAACATTGTCCTTTATGGGTACTTAGAAATCAATAGATAAGGTTCTTTAAATCTTTGGAAAGGCTGAACAGGCTGTGTCTTTTATTCTTGGGTATGAATAGGCAAAAATTGGGAAAGAGAAAATAACAAGATGCTAGGGCTATTTTCAGCTGTTGCAGGCTCTAGGCCTAAAGAACACCCCAGTGGTTCATGATGAAAGATCAAACTTGCCCTTGTTATTGAGCCCCATGATAAAGACAGCCAGTGCCCATACATAAATGCCACATTGTCTGCAATGACAATGACCATGTTACCACCACCCTCTAATTTATTCATTCTAAATGTCTGGACCCAAGGAGGGGCAGGACTCACACACACATGACACCCAGTGGAGGGCTTTAGGGGTCAAGGTTACTCACCCTATGGCTCAGACAGTGAGCAAAAAGACTGCTCCTATTTTAAAACAGCGGAGGCACAGGATTACCACCACCATCGCTGCACACACTCACGTATAAACACACTGCCCTCCCCCCTCTCCCCCCATCCCCGCCGTGGCCATGAGGACTAATCAGTACTAGGGATTTAGCCTCTTTGGGAAAAGCTGCATTCCTTCGGAACAACCCTTGGCTTTTTGACAGGAGATGATGATTCAATGGGATCCCCGTCCTTCTGCTAATGCGAGCATTTAAACAAAGCTCAGTGTGGTCCCTGGGATACGCTCCCTCTGGAGCTGAGGACATTGGGGAATAGTTATAGTGCCTGAGAAGGAGACATTTCAGCCCAAGCTTGCAGCCTGTCTCACCACAGCCTGCATCATTGGACCCTCATTGTCAGTCGTGCTGACACTTCCTGTAGAAAGCAGAGCTCACCGCGGGCAGACCAGCAAGTCTTCTCCAGGTCATTGGCTCCTCAGCTGTCCTGAGCTGAACTTCTGCAGCTCTGGTGGACTTAGCTGCTGGACTTTCAGAAGAAGCCCATCTAGGTCACTAAACCTATAGGAAAACAACACACCCTGACTAAACACTGCAGCTGCAGGACTACCATCCAACGGGGAAAATCCCAGAGTCAGCACAGGTAGGGCCAGGCATGGCCAGAATGGGCTAGCACGTGACGCGCTCCAAGGTGTTAAGACATCTCAAGCATAGTTGATACCATTTTATCTACAGCCTTGCTCAGCAAGAAAGATCCTTAAAAGAGACGGTAATAATTGTGACGACAAAAAAAAAAAAAAAAAAAAAACCAATCTAAACCAGGAAGGGGCGCGTGGGCGGCTCAGTGGATTTAGGCGTCTGACTTCATTCAGCTCAGGTCATGATCTCTCTGTGGGTGAGTTCGAGCCCCGTGTGGAGCTCTCTGCTGGTGCTCGGAGCCTGGAGCCTGCTTCCGATTCTGTGTCTCCCTCTCTCTCTGCCCTTCCCCCACTCAGGCACGCACGTGCTCGCTCACTCGCTCACTCGCGCGCTCTCTCTCACTCTCTCAAAAACAAGTAAACATTAAACCAGGAAAATCCTGGCCAGTATGTAGGCATTCAGAGTTAGGCTGCCTTCTGATCTATAGATTCGAGTTGCATCCTCAGATACCAACACTTTTTGTCTTAGCTCAGTATCTGCTTGTGTCCTACCAGAAAACTCCCAGCTGAGGTCTGATTTTCTCCGCTGTTATTTCACATGGAGTGTCAGTGAGTTAGAGATCACTGGCTAACATCCCCGAAATGACTTTACTGAAGAATTCCACCTTCAGACTCTGGCCCGCCGGAGATTGAGAGGTAATCAATGAAGACAGGGACAGATCGCACGCTGAAAGTCTACTCTCCCACTTAGTGGGGCTCTGAATTAAATCATAACACTAAACCCTAAACCATCAATCCCTTCAAACCTGTTTAGTGGCCAATTTACAGAATCACACTGTAGAAAAAAAATTTACATTCCTCACTGAGGTCTACCAAGTGTAGGACCCAGCCCCTGCCTAACCCTCCGACCTCATCTTGAAACACTTTCTCTCATCTCCTCCACTCCAGCCACTCTGGCCTTCTTCCTGTTCCTCAAACCTGCCAAGCTGGGTCTGTAGCTGAGACTTTCTATCCATTGCTCGCTCTTCCCCCCCCATCTTAACATGTTGACTCTTCCGCATGATCAATGCCTGCTCAGATATCAAATTCTCCACGAAGCCTGTCCCGTCCCCCGCCCAATGTGGCATCCCTCAGTCACTTTCTGTTACATTACCTGCTGTCATTTTCTGTCTAGGACTTAGCACCATGGTACCCTATTGGTTTTATTTACGTCGTTTTTCATTGTCTTCCTCTACTAGGCCATGATTTCCACAAAAGCAGGGGGCTTATCTGTCTCATTTGGTAGGAAACTACCCTTGGTGCCTAGCTTCGTGACACTAGAAAGCATTCAATTAATGTGTGAGGAAAGAATGAACATTAAACAGAAAGCTCAGAGAAGGCAGCGTGGATTCTCTCTTTGGATAAAGGGGCTCGATGGGTGACTTCTTACCTGTACTCTCCGGAGGTGAGGGGAACCAAAATCCTGAGCAGCACCTACTTTATCAGGCATAATAATATAAATGCTTCCAAAGCCCATGGGTACACCCATTCTTAGAACTGCGTACACCCATCATATTTGCTGTCTAAATGCTTCCACTACCTGTGGTTTTAAATCCACAACCACCCCCTTCAGAAACAGTGATCAGCACAATGAGACAATCTGTCTGGGATAGGTTCTCCTTTCTTTCTTTCTTTCTTTCTTTCTTTCTTTCTTTCTTTCTTTCTTTTTGAATGTTTATTTATTTATTTATGAGAGAGAGAGAGAGAGAGAGAGAGAGAAAGTGGGTGGGGGAGGGGCAGAGGGAGGGAGACAGAATCCCAAGCAGGCTCCTCGCCTTCATTGCAGAGCCCGGTGTGGGGCTCAGACTCAAGACCCATGAGATCATCACCTGAGCCGAAACCAAGAGTTGGATGCTTAATTGACGGAGTCACCCATGTGCGGCACGCCCCCCTCCCACAAATCCTTTCCTTTTCACAAATTCAAGTTAATACTACAAGTGGCTTTTTTAGAAAATATTCGGGCATAAGGTTTAAAAACCTAACTTTTTGTTTGTATGTTTAACAGCACGGGGAATAGGCCGTAATAAAATTTTTATGGCCCCGATACTAAAATGACGATGGTACTCTCCCAAGAGGTTCAAAATAAAAACAACGTTAAATTGCAAAATAAAATTTTATTTCAAAAGCTAAAACTCACAAGTATGCTGAAATAAGGCCAGGATGTAAGTTCATGCGGGAGGGAAAAGTTGCGGGTTCCCCAGTGCCAGAAACAGTGCCTTGCACAACAGCAAGGTACTCAATAAACAGAATGATGGCTACAGTTTTCCCAGTTCTTTCCTGAATGCCCCTTACCCCCATCCCTGGCCCTGCCCTGGCCCCAGCATGTTCTTACTTGGCTTCTTGGGCAATCTAGCCATGACTGGGCATGTGGCTAGGGCTCGGTCAGTATTTGTTGATTGTAAGACTTGCACTGGACAGGACTGGAGTATCGCAGACCACACGATCACCTGAGGCCTGGCTGCAGGGCCTACATCAGCCCTATCTGGGCTGGAGCTGAACTTCAAGGTTACAACAGAGGACCACGCACTCCTGCCCCATTCAGATTGCTTAGCTCCGTGGATGGCATCAGCCGACAGGATTCTTCATTTGCACAGTTTGGCTGAACCATTCTATTCCTTCTTCCACATTGATCAGGTGGTTTGGAATCAACTGTGGGTAACCTTCCCAGAGGGTGTCTGCGGGTGAAGAATCTTCATTTTCCCCTGGCCTCTGTTTGTCGTGAATGGGACAGTTCACAGGAGGCGGGACTTCGGGGGTTCATTTGCTACTATGACTTTGCCATCCAAGTCTAGTGTTCATCCAGCTGGTGTCTGTCTGAGCTTGGAACTTGGAAAAGAGTGAAGCAAGACGTTGTGAAATAGGCTGGGGAAATGGAGAAAACCTGGTGTTTTCAAGCAGCACTCCACTCATTGGCCTGCCAGACCGGCAGGCTTACCAAACAGCAGCTCCGAGCCACAGTGAATATTTCAACACGTCTTACCCGTTTCTGGCCCATGTGGTAAGATGACCAGAGAAGTACACAAAACCCCTAGCAATAGAGAATACCGAAGAATTTCAAATGAGGTGATTCTAGATTGTATGTTTAGATAAAGCAGCCCCACGGTGTTCGAGATTAATTTAGTTGTGGTGTTCTGTTTTTAGTGTTTGTTTATTCATTTCTGAGAGAGAGAGAGAGAGCACGAGCGGGAGAGGAACAGAGAGAATCCCAACCAGGATCCGTGCTGTCAGCACAGAGCCCATCACAGTGCTTGGTCCCACAAACCAAACTGTGAGATCATGACCTGAGCTAAAATCAAGAGTTTGAGACATGTAAGTGCCCCAATTTAGTTGTGGTCTTATCAGAAATCTCTATCCTACCTTCTACTTTTCCATTGGTTTCAGAATCCCTGCCAGGGATGAAAGGGGCTTCATTTACCTCAAATTATTATTATCTTGCATAAGAACCAGAAAATCACCTGCAGATACTAGGTAAGACCTCTACAAAGTTAATTTTTTCATGACTCAAATTGTCCAGGGACAATTATCCTATTCCTTCTTCTTCATTCAGTATCTTTATTGAGTATCTACTATGTGCTAGTCACTGGAATCCATAGTAAACGGACAAGCTTCCTATTAAAGCAAAGCTCGTAGTCCAGTAATAAACAAGAAAACAAACCAAAATATCAGATAAAAGGGAGCAGGTAATTAAAATGGAGAGATATGTTGTGAGTGTTTGGGTTAGGTGGAAGGAGGTGACTTTTGTGATGAGAAATAAATGACAGGAAGGAACCAGCCACGGGAAGACAAGAAGCAGAGCATTCTGGGCAGAGGAAATGCTTCCCAGTGTAAAGTTAAGTACTGGGAAACATAACCGTTGATTTTTCCTCACCTCTGAACCCAGCAACCCTCTGTCCTTAAAATGCGCACCACAAGCTCTAGTGTCTGAGTTGCCCCCGAACCATCTCTCCCTCCCTCGGATGATAAACACCAAATTTTGGATCAATGGTACCAAATTTACAAATGTCCCAGCTCTTCCCGGTTTACTTTCCTCCCTAGCCATCACTGTACTTCAAACCAGGCATGGACAGTTCTATTTCGTTTTTATGCAGTAACAACCTATATAGATCCTTCTGATAAGTGGCTCTACGCTAACGATGTTTGGTAAGATCTCTCTCAACAGCTTAGAGTCTTCATTCAAAGCCCCAAAAAACAGTGACGCAAATTGCCCTAGACCAGGATCTGAGGTCTTCCAGGACCCTTTTTCACAGGAATTTGAAAACAGGCACATTCCATTTTGCCCTTTGTTAGAGAGCTATTGACAATAAACAGAATTCGGCTCAGAATTTGTGCTGTAAAACAGCAGAACGCTGAACAAACCACTCTTTCTCACCCAGGGCAACACTCCCCTGGATTCTGCTGATACTTACACAGGGCTTAAGTAAGAACATTTGGGAAGTTTATGGGAAACTAAAAGTCTCAACGCATTAGTTTCTTAAATTCTTTGTTATTTTGACTGCACCGAAGGCTATTCCACAAGCCATTATCAGAATCCACCCATCTTCAGTTCCCGTAAATATTATGTCTACCCAGAACTATGTGAACTATTTCATAGCTGGAATATGAGCCAGGCTGTGGAACTCGCTAGTAGGAATAAGAGGAGCGTTGAAACCTGAAGGTGAGAAAATTCAGGAGGCAAAGGGCACAGTGAGCTAAAGGATGATGCATGTTTTGGGGAAAGAAGACAGCTCAGCCCTCAGAGACTGATTAGTATTCAGCCCATACTTGATTATTTAAACCCAGCAGCGAATGTTTGCTAACACATTCCTGGGGGCACGAGGGTGGCTTTCATTACAACAAGTAAAAGAAGCTGCGTTCCGGCCTCAGCAGTCGTCCTTGTTGTAGCTGATACTAACTATTCCAGGCAATGGAGAGCAAGGAAAACTGAGGCAGCAACTGTCAAACGTTGGTGATCTCCTGGAAAGGAGCAAAGTAGGCAGCTGCTGCCATGCATCCTGGAGCTGGGGACTAAATTCACTCCGGTGGCAAACCTCTGATGCAGGACGTTGGTGAAAAGGCATTGTACCACGGAAAGCACGAATTAAATGTGAGTTGCTAGTGTTAAACCTGTGTTCTCTGCCCCCATCTCCCGCTCTCCTCCTCAGCTAAACCTACTCTTATCCAGGTTTCAAACTTGGAATGTTGTATCCTGAGCACCCAGCTTGAATTAGGAACCCTCTAGAAGTCTTTCGCTCACCCCAGGCTTTGCATGTATAGCACTTAAAACTGTTTCTTTTTTTTTTTTTTTTCAATGTTTATTTATTTTTGGGACAGAGAGAGACAGAGCATGAACGGGGGAGGGGCAGAGAGAGAGGGAGACACAGAATCGGAAACAGGCTCCAGGCTCCGAGCCATCAGCCCAGAGCCTGACGCGGGGCTTGAACTCCCGGACCGCGAGATCGTGACCTGGCTGAAGTCAGACGCTTAACCGACTGCGCCACCCAGGCACCCCTTAAAACTGTTTCTAATAATGAATACTTCTTTAGAAAACAATGGGGCTGGTATCTAAGAGATCCGTTCTACAAGGGTTGGGATCTTTGGGATCTGATGAACCCCCAAACGCCCACAGAAGGCCTCGTATGAGTAGGCCTTAATTGTTGATTGAGTTTGTTTGGTGTCTGTCTCTCCACTCCGGAAGGAGAGAAATCCTGCTTATTTCACCCATGATGGAGTCGCAAGCCCATAATACGGTTTCTGGCCATGTATCGGCTGCTCAAAAAATACTTCTCGAATAAATGGAAATAACAGTAGCTAATATTTATTAGGTGCCGCTCAGGGATTGTGCTGAATGTTTTACAGATATCGTTACGTTATTTAATATTCACCAAAGTGCCATGATACATTATTATGCCATTTTGGCTGAGTAGTTTCAATACATCTCTTTAAATAATGACCTTATAATTCACTACTCCACAATAGATAATTGTGCTGTTTTCTCCCCAGTATAGTAGGTATGTAGTGCCCTGGTGACCTGAATAAGTGAATTTATTTCCCTAGGTATCTAGCAGGGAGTTACTGATGAGAGAGAAAGTTTCATGGGCTTTAATTATTCTTAAATTGCTTAGAATTAAATGATAGCCTCAGCTTCTGTTTACACTGGGTTTTGGAAGGAAAGCATATATAATATATAATAATATATATAGTGATATCTCTATCAGCAATATGTACAGTGCTATAATGCTGGTTGCATTCGGTTCATATACAGCCGCAGAACACGTAGAGTGTTGCCACTTCTAACTAACTGAGCTAACCTGCCAAGAAGAGTGTTTCCACTTCTGCTAGAGGAAACTGCAAGCAGAAGAAAAGTATGGCCAAACCTTGCCCGAGATGCTGGTTAAACTGGCTCTGCCAGTGTCTCCTGCACCTGCCTGGGACACCAGTTGGAAGGCAGGCTTGTTCCCTCCTCCGGGGAACATGCCGATCTTCACCACTCAGCCCCATCTGATCTTGTTGAACAGGCATAGAGCAGTCAAAATCCCACCTCCTCATGTAAACCTGGAAGTGTTTGGGTGGGTGGGGCCTGGTCCAAGCAAGGATCAGTCCAACTGGAAACAAACTGACCCACCCAGACTGGGTGTAATTCCAAAGGAACTACGCAAAGTATTATATTCCCACCATTGTATTGCACTCTTACCCATCCTGGTGAGATTGTGTCACACCCCTTTGCCACAGAAACTGGTGATCCAAAGGCACGTGGCTTAAGAAGTGGTCCGTTTGATTAGGAAAATGAATCCACCCTTGAATTCGATTTTTACTTCTCCTTGATGCTTCTGTCTGCTCTCTACCACTGTCAACGATACGCCACGGAGACTAAAGAAGGAATAGAACTGTCAGAGGAAGATGGGAAAAAAATGACAAAGCAAGGAGTTTTCACAGAGCTATATGCATTTAATTTAGAAGAGCTGTCCCTAAGTCTTAGATTATGTCTTTCTGACTTTTGTTAATGTTAAAATGTCCTCTTATTTATAAAATGATGGTGATAACAAATGGTGATTGTTTGGTAAAATTGAGAGCTGACAACCTATGTCCGTTCACCAACTTTTTTTTTCTTTTAGAGAGAGAAAGAGAGAGAGAGAGCGAGTGAATGGGGAAGAGGGGCAGAGGGAGAGAGAGAATCTCAAGCAGGCTCCACACTCAGATCAGAGCCCAATGCAGAGCTCGATCCCATGACCCTGGGACCATGACCTGAGACGAAATCAGGAGTCAGACACTCAACTCAACACTTGGATGTCTGAGCCACCCAGACATCCAAGTTCACCAACTTTAAAAAAAAAAAAATTTTTTTTTTAATTTATTTTTGAGAGAGAGAGAGAGAGAGAGCACAATCAGGGGAAGGGCAGAGAGAGAGACACACACACAGAATCTGAAGCAGGCTCCAGGTTCTGAGCTGTCAGCGCAGAGCCCCACACGGGGCTCAAACTCACAGACTGTGAGATCATGACCTGAGCCCAAGTTGGACGCTTGACTGACTGGCGCCCCCACCCACCCCCCACGCCAGTTCACCAACTTTTTAAAAACTTTGCCAACCCCTAAAATCCAGCAGTGTGGGAACCCCTGGATTGCTGTAGTGGCCTCAGAGGCTTTGGGTAAGGACAGGGAGAAGAGTCTCTCCTTTTCATGTATGAGTAGCGCTCCAGATCTGCTGGGTGGGCTCCAAGTATCCTCTGTCACCAAATGGCACAACTTGGAGGGGCAACTTTGATCAAAATGAATAATGTTCCCTAGGCTCCCAGGATCCTGTTTTTCAGACCCACCTAAGAGCCCAGTGTTCTCATGTGGTGCTGTCTCACCTGTCAGGGTGGAACATGTCTGATAACCTAATTTATGTTAAACTTTAGGAGTTTACTGCTCACTCATCAAAGAATTTGTATTTTCAACCTAAGACTTGAAGAGAGTGGTAGATGCTGACTCCAAAGGCATATTCCACTGATAATGGAATTTTAGGGAGAGTGAGGGAGCATGCCCTGACATGGGATGTATCAGATCGCACAGGTAGGCATTCATCCAGCCTGCCTATGAATGACACCCAAGCCCACCTTGACACTGTTCCACTTATAGGTCACCTTGTCTAGTAAAACATTTTTAAGCTTGAATGCCTTCTGCTTTATGGTTTTCAAAGCCCTTTCTTGAACATTCCCTAGTGTGACCTTCATAACAGTGCTGAGAGGTAAGCAGGGAAGGTAGCAGCATCTTTGTTTCGTTTTATAATTTTTTTAATGTTTATTTATTTATTTAGAGAGACAGAGAGTGAGAGAGCATGAACAAGAGTGGGGCAGAGAGAGAGGGAGAGAGAAAATCCCAAGCAGCTTCCACGCTCTGCAAGAGCCTGACGTGGGGCTCGATCCCATGACCATGAGATCATGACCAGAGCTGATATCAAGAGTCGGACGCTCAACCAACTGAGCCACCTAGGTGCCCCACAATATCTTCACTTCTACAACTGAAGACAGGAGGAGTGTGAGTTGAAGAGCTCAATTTCAGTCACAGCTGGGATGTGCAAGAGGTATGATGTGCACTTGGGTCTTGGAAGGCCAGGTGGGTCGCTGCTCCTCCGGGCCTGAGACAAGCCTGTCTGCTGTAGAAACCTGGCAGGTGCAGGCTCCACTCAACACCAAGATGGGAAGGTGTTGGGGGGAAATAATGCCCATTAATGATAATCAAGCATTTATATGCCATTTGGTATTCCCACAGTACCAACATGTAGGGTCAGTAAATTCTCCAGATCCCATGTTACAGGCGAGGAAATATGCTGGAGGAATTTAGTCCTCTCGCTGTTTGAGGAGCTCAGCAGCAGAGCAGGACATCGCGGTCTTTAGGTTGAATTTGGTCAGCTAAGCGGAGCAGCTCAGACAAACCCCGGGGGCAGGAGGGTCTGTGCATGTGTGTGTGCATGTAGACACATAGGAAACCAACTGTTGCTTTGAGTACCATCGAAACTATCATCTATTTGGTATTTCCAGGATTAAAAACTCCCCTGCCACATGCTATGGCCCACAACCATGTTTGGGTCATGGTCAAAAGAACGAAAAGAAAGAACTAAGTCAAGGGGTGCCTGGGTGGCTCAGTCGGTTAAGCGTCAGACTTCGGCTCGGGTCATGATATCACAGTTTGTGGGTTCGAGCCCCACATCGGGCTCTGTGCTGATGGCTCAGAGCCTGGAGCCTGCTTCGGATTCTGTGTCTCCCTCTCTCTCTGCTCCTCCCCCACTCATGCTCGCTCTCTCTCTCTCCTTCATAAATAAATAAATAAATAAATAAATAAATAAATAAATAAAAGAAAGGAAGAAAGTTCCAGAACTAAGTCTGGGGGATGGAGAAGGACATGGAAGCTTTGAGATTGTAACTGGTGCTTTTCAACAGAATCATAAAATCCAGCTCATGTGCTAGAGTCAAATCTAGGTACTTAGAAATTCTGTCATTTTCCATCATACTCCCCTCTTCCTTGTCCACACTGAGAAATGCCCTCAGTCACCCCTCCTAGCTTTTCAGGTCCGTCTTCAAGGTACAGTGTAAATATTGTCTCATTATTACTCTTTCTTTGCAACCCAGATAGATAGGCTCTCGGAGACCAAGATGCTCTGTATTCCTAGAAATGTAAAGACAGATGATAGAATTCAAAAGGGATGTTTGATGGTCTAAAAATGATCTTATATCAGACTTTCAGATATGCCTTGGCAGCATCAGGACAGGAGGGAGACTTGCCTGGCAATTTAATATATTTACTGGGTAAATAGTAAGCACTTGCAGTCTCTGTGACTTAATCAGAATGAAGTTCATTACAATAAGTAGCTGTGCCCTTTGGTCCTATTTGTACTGAGCAGGCTTCCAATTTCATTCACATCTCCAAAGGAAATTGTAGGCTAGAAGCTGGCCAAGGAGTGCCAGGGAGGACACTTAGCAAGGATATTCCCCAGAGCAGATACAGGGGACAGGAGGTGGTGGGCTGATTAGAGCAGAGAGAACAAGATGCCCTTCTTATCAATTCCAATCTGTGAAAGTAATTTTACTTTCTTATTTTTAACTTGAGGCTTGCATCAGTGTCTCTCTCTCCCTTTCTGGGTTTTGAAAACATATTATCGGGTCATCTAAACCTTTTATGCAACATTTCAGACTTGTATGTGCATGAGCTGGTGAAGATTTATTATATTTGACACCATAACTAAAGATTTTAAGGCATTCTTTTAAGCACACTTGACTGAAACCCCTGAGGCTAGATCCCTATCTCTTGCCAGATATTAACTTGGCTTCACTGGTGGAAGCTCAGGGTAAGGTTAAAACTGTTTCTGGAGACATTATTTGTGCCTCCGAACGTTTAACTCCATCAGTGTATTACTTTCATATATGAAGAAATCTGAGATTTTCAGATCAGAATTCTCCCCCACTCCATCCACCCCCATCTCTGTCCTCAATTTATTTCTATTTCTTTTGGAGAAGTTAAGTGCCCCCCTCCTCGTTTCGAATTAAAATAGGCAAAGAGAAAAGCGTGAGATTCGATGAGTCCATGAATACAAGTACCAACCCCTATCCTTTGGGATCCTTTGGTATTTGCTCAAGGTACAAGCAATCTGGGCATCTCTGGGTAGGAATACGGATAAATGATGTCATTCAACAGAATTAGGACCAGACGGGAAACCGTAGCCAAATCCTGCAGGGGGTAGCACTGAATCCTGGCATTAGGTACGGAAGGCCCTGACTGCTCTGGGAGGGTGAACAAGTGTAACTGTGAAGGCAACACAGTCTCCGGGATGAGGCTGAGAGGGGAATAGCATTTTTGAGCTGTGAAGTGGGGGAGGGTCGGGGATGTAACTCCAAATATTGGGCCGTGACAACCGCCAGGCCTGAGGGCCGTGACTCTCACAATGGACTTGGTCACAAAGGGCCTATGTCATCTTGAGGCTGTATAATCGGTAAATGCAAGCTGCACGTTGAGCACGTTTTCTCCTGGATCTCATCCTTGGCGACGGATCCAGACCTCAGCCTCCAGGATCTGTTTGAGAAATAAACAAATGGGAGACAAACAACCAAAACAGCAACACGGTAGAGCTGGCGCGGGCGACGAAGCTCCGCCTTTGGAAGACTCGGCCAATCAGAAGCCTGTTGCTGGGGCCTGGTGTTTGGCCGCCTGACGTTCCCATGGAGACGGAGGAACGTTACACACTAAACACTGGGCGACGTTGACGTCTATGCATTATATCCATGGAGACGACTGAGTAAACGTCATCCCCGCACTTCCCCGCCCTCCCGCCGCGCCAGGGGCGGAGGGAGCGACGCAGGCGTTGCGGTCACGTGCTGCAGGCTC